AGGCGTTCATAATAACGTCATTTTCGGTCCTGCCTTGCATGAATATGTATCAGGTTGAGCTTTCCGCAAGGCAAATGCACTCTCCATGAGTGCGAATATCATCAACATGACCTAAACAAAGTGAGCATCATGCATAATGTTCACAGCCGGTAGCGTGTTATATATGCGTCAAACATAGACTCTCAAGAGACCTCGGGCATGCGTAGTGTTCACAGCAGGTTGTGTCATGTTCGGTAAAGCATACACTCTCAGGAAAACTCAGAATAACGTCACCTGAGGCCCTACCCCGCATGAATACGGTCAGCATGAGCTTTCCACAAGTCAAATCAACTCTCCATGAGTGTGAATACCATTAACATGGCCTGAAGGCCGCAAACATCACGTTTCATGAGCTCTCCTCTGTGTGCGCACTTACATGACTGACGGCTTCCCACCGGTGTGGAGTCTTTGACAGCTCCATCACTGCAAACTCTCTCCTAGCAAAATCTATGTGAACTGAGGACTGCTGGCGCTCAGTAGGCCCAGAACTGGGAACTGGAATGAGAGTTGCTTCATAACCTGCACATGCTCTTGTCTTCTGTCACCCCACCCTTCCCTTGCCTTCTAGTACTTCGGGTTTCAAACCCCTCTAGTCTCTTCCATCTCTATAGCTGCCACAAGCTTAGCTTCATTCAACATTGGCGTAACGACTTTAACAACAAGAATGAAAAGACAAACAAAGACCATGTGGCAATTTTGTGTCATCCTCGTATAGGGGCCATGCTAATCCTCGTACAGGGGCCATGCTAATCTCGTTGGCACCATTCAATTTCAATGGATGTCCCAAAGGATGCTCAGAAAAAGATATACTCTTTGACTGATACAATGTTCCTTGAAGGCTTGAACATTAATACTTGTATTCTTTGACCGATACAATGTTCCTTGAAGGCTTGAACATTAATACTTTTTTTTTTAGTAGTTAGGGGCAAACCAGGGGAAACTCTCCCAGCCAAGATTAAACACTGGAAGGGCTTACTCCTTACCAACAAGGGAGAGAAGAAGAGAAAACAATCACTAATCAATCAAGAGATCAGATCACCACATGTATATTTCCTTTTGCTCCATTCTCTAGTTCGATAGGAGAAAAACTAGTAAGCCGCGGGGATGGGAAATAGCCGATGGACCAGCCCTATGTTCTTTTGTTTTATCCTCTTGTTTGCTCTGGGCATCACGGACAATCCGCAGTTTTTGTTTTCTTTTTTCAAAAAAAGTACAGTTGTCTTCTTCTCATATATGGAGGACAGCTATATTTTTACTACACTATTTTCTTCTCTCAAATATCCTTACACTAGCTACCCATCCAACCAGGACTAGGATCAGCCAGAGGTGTGTAGTTTTTGTACTTTACTGCAATTGGCTTATGATCTGGGGCAAGTAACTGATGATTTACCCCCCCCCCCCCCCGCTCCCCTTCCGGTATCTGTGTTAACACAATAGCATTCCTCATAGATAGTTTTGTTGTTCTGAAGCGAGTTCCTGGGCTTATAGTTTAATTTGTTCAAAGTTCAAACGCACCGCTCATAACGGTGATATTGAAGGTTCAAATCCTAATAAGCCTATCTGGATTCTGGGTGTATAGCTTAGTTGGTAGAGCATTGGGCTTTTAACCTAATGGTCACAAGTTAAGGTGAGGTTGACATTCATAGGCTATTCTCAGCAAGCAAGCGTAGGCTCATGTGTTTCCAGATGTCCTGTCAGGTCCAGGCACCTTTCGGCAAGCAAAGTGCAGGCTTGTGCATGTCCAGACTCCCTGTATTACCTACCTAAGGAGCTGGGCCAGCCTCTGATCCAATCCAAGTCGCCATTTCCACCACGCCTTTTTCTCGTCCTTCGTTTTCAACTTCTCTGTGCCCACGTTCGATTGCCGACTTTCCTCAAGGATCGCTCCAAACTCTTGCAGGAACCAATTCATTCCTGAGCCTCCCAGCCCGTCCATGTCTGGTTGGCTTCTCTGAGCCCCATCTTCACTTCGATGCTCATTATTTTGACCACTATTGACTTCGCTCAAAACTTCGTCATATGCAGAGCATGTCATCGAGTCCTTCAGCTGCAGGTATTGTACGAGTTTCGACTCCAAGTCTGCAAACCCATAGATGGGAAGGGCCATAACCACAGCATCATGGCCCATGCAGATGCGAGAGACCATCAGGTATTTCGATGGATGGGCAAGCCCATCACGGCTTCCTATAGCCGAATATCGCAGAGGAGTGCAGGGCAATGTGTCTACGATGCTGAGGCAGCACACCACCAACCCAGGAGGCAACATGCTGCCAAGCAGCTGAGCAAAAGCTCGCCCACTAGACTCTATGTTCCCCAAGGCAAGTTTCCCGAGCCTGTAACATATTTCATGACAACATTACAAAACATGGCAAACAAATCTGGTCAGCCTACTTGCAAACATATACTCTATCCACAGGTAAAGGAACACATCTAAATGTGTCTAACTTGTAGTCCCTCTACCCCTTCACCACAGGAAGTCCATCTACTCTACAGCTCGCAGGGCTTAAATGCAGGAACGAAACAGGCATAAGATCTCGCAATACTAGTGAGTGAACACAGAAACATTTGGCTGGTTCTGGTTTTGTGCCGCACATGCTAACACGAAACAAGGACTGAGCAGGGTAGGTACCGAAGGGGTAGAAAAAGGAGAAACCTCCAAAGCAAACAATACAATAAAAAGGGCAGAGAGAGACGGAGAAGACGATAGGGAAATGACCACTGGCAATGTATCTTGCAAATCCAAGGGCTCGCCTTGCATTCATGGGTGCACAGGAAGCATCCCGACTTATTGCCTCGGAGTCATGCTTGCAATCCAGACATATTGACTTGTTACAAGATTGAATCATACTTGTGCTCCAAACATCCGGACTGCATCCAGACAGGGATTTGGCGGCCTGGCAGATGGTGGTGTCACATGGCATTCAAACTCTCTAGAGTTACACACACATGCAACCCCCATGTCATGTGAAATGCGTCCCATGTTGAACCGCTCTGTTTCTCTCCCCCTGGAGAGATTTTCTGTGTACATGTTCATCCAGTGGGACATATGAATTGTCTCGACTCCTCTATAGTAATCACTGCACTTGCTACGGAGCACTATTCAAACAGGACGGGTGATTCATCAAGTCCCCTGCACACACACATTTTGAATAGTGGCCATGGTGTGATGTTGTCACCAGACTTTCGCCATGGCCGATGGTCCCACTCTGGGGCCCCTCGGCCGTTCCCAGGGCAGCGACATGTGAGGGCCACTCTTTCGTTGAGTTGTAGAGTTAGTGAAGATCTCTACAAAGATGGGTACAAAATGTTACCAAACATCTTTATCTTCTATTTTGTGTTCGGCAGCTCATCCAATAAGGCCCGTTGGGGCCCAAATTTCCCGAGTCGTAATGACTTACTGTGGTCTCAGGCTACCCACTTTTTTCGTGAATTTCCTCTGCAAGGGTCCATTTGAACCACCTAACCAACACATATTGCAGCAAATTCCGGAGTAGATCCTGAACACCATGAGGTACGACAAGCACACACTCATGCGGCACGGTGCTACCCTTCCCTGCATACACATCTAGATTACTGTTATGGAAACAGTCAAATGAGCCTGGAGTCCGGAAGTTCGGCACATACCGCAGCACATCCTGAACAACATGAAGCATTTGTGCTTTGTTATCTACCACACAGCCACCTTCTTCTGCTCCTGAAACCGTATTTGATTCATCTCTCTTACTCTGCAAGCAAATCCCGACAGTAACAGGAGGAAAACAAAGTAAAAAATAAGCGCAGGTACCAACACTCACAATAGAAGACTTGAGAATGACAAGAAGATCACCAAGGATGATAACCCAAATCACTGTAATGGAAAATGAACAAAAACAACAAGCTAGTGTTAGGATGTGGAAAGGGCTAGGACATGAGGGTATACCTGGTGCCATAGAAGGAGCTCGCCCGGCTGCCATAGTCAGGCACCTTTGGGCCACCTCCAGTAACTTCAGGACTTTGGCAACTCGAGACTTCGCCTTTCGACGGTCTATATCATCATGAGAGAGAGAGAGAGAGAGAGAGAGAGAGAGAGAGAGAGAGAGAGAGAGAGAGAGAGAGAGAGAGAGAGAGAGNAGAGAGAGAGAGAGAGAGAGAGAGAGAGAGAGAGAGAGAGAGAGAGAGAGAGAGAGAGAGAGAGAGAGAGAGAGAGAGAGAGAGAGAATATTATATCTTTGTCTTCTCCTCCTTCCCCTCTCATCATACCTCACATCCACAGAGGAAGAGAGAGGGAAAGATCAGAGAGATTCGGCATTGGAATTCGGGACCAGGCCCTCTATTTCAGGAGGAGGTAAGATAATCGTTGGCCTTCTCACACTGCAAGTCTCATTCTTATTCTTCTCCACCCGTCCTCATACTTAGTACCTGTATGCTTCAGGGAAGGCTTCTTCCATGCACGACCCCCCTCCGTCCATTGTCTAGATTGCTGCGGAGTCGCTGAGTGAGTCAGACTGTGTGACTTGAGTCATTCATCATTCAGTCTTCGGCTGTGTTTTGTTCACAACATCCCTCTCATGTGGTGATTCTTGGACCTGCAGCCCAGCTATTCAGCCAGGCATGTGACATTCTGTTGCCATAGGCATAATCTCTACTCCACAACAGATATGCGTCAGCTCACTGACAAAATTCCAGGCCCACTATGTTCAAGTTGATATTGCCATACCCTCTACCCCACAACACAAGTGCATCGGCACGCACAAGCAGACATTAATCACCGCCTTCCTTGAAGCAACACAAGATTCACTTACTGCAAATCACCAACTTATGCAGAGATTGATCCTTCCCACTGTTTCCCGCCAATGTAAGATTGTGAACATGTATGTCGTCTATGTCGTCTATTTCTTAGTGCCACACAGAAAGACGTGCAATAATTACGATTGTCAACACGGAAGTCCTTTGGCACAGCTCCACCAGGGCGATGTCGGGTGCTTTCGTTCACCGCTTCAGTGTTTCAGTTTCTCCTGAAGCACTTGCTGCCTCTTGCTATGACACTTGTGTAATGAACCGCCAAAACACAGACTGAGAGCACTGCTGATTTCTGAATTTTGCCGCTGGAATGGATGCCTTGCTGAGATTCCCGCATTCTGCTTAGTTTTCTAAGTCTGTGTGTGTGTGCGTGATTGATGATCTGTGTGCCTGTCTGAGTGCTTGTCGGCCCGAATGTGTGTGTGACCCGTACTTAGCTTGCTGGGGAGGCCCTGTAGGAAAACACTCGTAGCGGGAGTAGAGCAGTAGGGAGAAACGCTCAAGTAGCAGGTAGGCCGGTACGACTCAAGTAGCGGGAAATGTGTCGGGGACTGGAGGCCGCGCAGAAGAAGACAAAAGTTGGCATTGTTAGAGGCCCAGTAGCGGGTAGGCCAGGTCTGGGCCGGTACAAGTCCAAGAAGACCGAGTCTAGGGCCTGTGCGGACGATATCAGAGCCTGCAATGATGTTTCCCTCCGAAAAGGAGGCACTGGTTGCTTGGAGGCCGCGGCCTGGAAGCCACCGTCCAAGGAGGTTGCTGCCTTGCTATATCTCCAAGGAGAGCCAAGAGCTCTTCCTCATTTGTGGTATGCAAGTTTGGTTGACGTACTGCTGGAGCAAGCTCAGAGGGCTGGAGGGAGGAGGAGCGCTGGGCACTACAGCGCTGCTAGGAGGAAGGAGACCGGGAGCTTACACCTTGGCTATGGTGGAGCTCTAATGGTCGGAGGAGGCAGAAGGGGGCTAGGGAGGAGAGCGGCGAGGTACCTACCTGGCTATGGTGGGCACCATCTTCATCACCTTGTTAGGCACTGCATCTGGAAGGCCCCAGTTGGGGTTGCGGCGCACCAAGAAGGCTTCAAGGCCGAGTCAGGCATGGCAGCCAGAACAGCAGCGGGCATTGCTGCTTTGAGTTGTCTTTTGCAAAGCAGGGCAAGGCCCTAGTAGTCCGCCATAGCCCTGGCCTACATGAAGAGGAGGCAGAAGGGTGGCCATGGCTATGGTGGACCTCATGTTGTGCCTGCAGTAGAAGAGGGATTCGGACATTGATTCTGGTTCGGCCATTCACCATCATTATTATTATTTATATATTGTTCGAATAAAGAGGGGCGGAGAAGAGGAGGGATTGGTTGGCGAGGGAAAGGGAATTATCATTGGTCTTTGCTGGTGTACATATTCTTCTTCTTTCTCTCTCTCTCTCTCTCTCCTCTCAAGTTCATTCATTTCTTTTTGCAATTGGTCGGCATCGTGCTTTGTCGTGAATTTGTACTTCAAAATTGGCCAGGATCATAACACTTGCAAGTTGCAACATACATAGCGTGAAGATTTAATGCCAGGTTGGAGACTCGAATCCACTAATAACATAACAGCAACATACAGACAGGAAAGGAAAATGACAAGGAAAAAAGAAAAAACTTCAAAAAACGGAAAATTTTAAAAAAACTTCAAAAAAAGAAAAGAAAAGAAAATTTTTTAAAATCATGAAAGAAATGAAAACGGAAAAAAAAAAACGAGTGTGATAGCCTTGTGCCGAAGAAGATCACCTTTGACAAACTCTTCAACTTGCGGTTAACAACTACGAGATGCTGCTGAGAAATCGACGACCCAACAGAGAGATTATGGAAAAGAGCTGCTGTCCACCTCGTCTCTGCCAAGCCTGTTGGAACACCCCTGATGACTGGTGCTTTCTCCTCTCGAAACATCCCCCCTTGCACACAGAGCAAAGCCAGAAGACTCATTGTCTGGAGGGAAGCAGCAAAACCACAGTAGCAAGAAGGACAAAGTAAAACCCATACAATCAGTACTCACCACCACAAAATAGGTCTGAAAAACTGGATGAAAACACCTTTCCAAGGATCTGTACAATACCAAGACAGCTCTAAGGTAATGATCCCAACTGACGGCAATGGAACCCACATGTTTCAATCAAAAGGACCTGTGGACTAGATCATGCCCATTCTCTTGGCAGTGCCTCCTGTGTTTCCTCAGTGAATTTGCACGGAACGGCGTATTTGGAACGCTCTGGTTCCTTTCCATATGCTGCATCAACCACCCGAACATATTTGCATACCTCTATATACAATGGTGCTTTTTGTATCCTTGAATCATGAGACAATGCAAAGCCCATGCATGGAGGTGTTTTCAGTGATCTCAAGAGGAGGCAGGCACAGACAGAATAACTCCGTGCCATTTTATGCGTGGTTGGTGATTTACAAATTCCCTGCCCCCTCAGAAGCGGGAAAAACTTGTAGGAAATATAACTAGCCTTCCCAGTGCCAGCAGAAGCCCGTACAGACATGGCAAGAGGATAAATTCCTTGAAATTAGTAACACATGGCATACAAAATCATTCTTGAATCTTGATCAATTTTGAACGAGACAAATCATAGCATTCTAATTCGTGACTCTCTCTCTCTCTCTCTCTCTCTCTCTCTCTCTCTCTCTCTCTCTCTCTCTCTCTCTCTCTC